ATACACTGAGTGGCCAAATTATTATGACCACCCCTTCAGTACGCTGTTGGGCCACCTTTTGCGCGTATTACTGCCTTAATTCGTCTGGGCATGGATTCTATGAGATGTTGGTAGGTGGTAGAAGGTATGCCAGACCATGCTCGCTGAACTACACTTGCCAATTCCTGCAAATTTGATGGTACTGGATCCATCTGTCTGAGAGCCTGTTCAATTTCATCCCACAAATTCTCAATTGGACTGAGATCTGGGGATTGTGCTGGCCAACGAAGCAAGTTAAATTCTCCGTCATGCTCTTCGAACTATCTGAGGACAATGCCAGCTTTATGACAAGGAGCGTTGTCCTGCTGGAAATATCCATCCCCGCCAGGGTACACCATTGACATAAACGGGTGTACTTGATCTGCGATGATACTTAAATACCCTTGGGCAATAAGGCGTTGTGGTACAGGAATTAAAGGACCCATACAATACCAAGAGAACATTCCTCAAACCATAACGTTACCACCACCAGCTTGAAGTCTCGTGGCAATGCAGTTGGGGTCCAAGCTTTCGTGCTGTTTTCTCCATATTCTCATCCTGCCGTCTGCGCGATGCATTTGAAATCGTGATTCATCGGACCACATGACCCTCTTCCAATCCTCTACTGTCCAATGTTTGTGCTCCTTTGCAAATTGGAGACGTCTGCGCTTATTTAAAGCAGACAGTAGAGGCTTACGAACAGGTCGTCTGCTTCCTTATCCTATACGGCGCAATGTGCGTCGAACAGTTCGTTCAGAGACGTTCACAGCTGATCCTTGATTAAGATCACTTGCAATTTGTCGCACTGTTGCTCTCCAGTTGCTTTGCACAACCCTGGCCAGCCTTCTCTCTGATCGAGCATTCAGTACTCTGTGACGACCACAAGTCTGATGTTGAGACCCGACTTCTTGCTTGATTGTCCATTCTTTGTACACATTAACAACTGCTGCTCTAGAACACTTCACAAGTGCAACCGTTTTGCTGATACTTGTTCCGACACATCTCGAACCCACAATCATTCCACGTGAAATTCAGTTAAATCACTTTTCTTTCCCATATCTGAGCAAGCAGCACAGTATAACTGATGACTCACTTGTCCAGCATTCCCATGTTATAGTTATCTTGCCCTCTAGCAGCAGCGCTGTAACGCAATATCTCATTTGCATAAAACTCTGAGGTGGTCATAATAATTTGGCCACTCAGTGTATATATATGTAATACAAAAATTATAATTACTTTTGTATTAATAAAAGAATTAAAACTCTTTCGGTTTCATAAAATGTCTTTGTTAAAGAATAAGCGTAGAGATATTCTATTTTGGGAATTCAAGGCTGAAAATATACCATTGAATAATAATTAGATTTATATTTCAAAGGAGGAGTTATTTTTAGAATCTTGCCCCTTTTTCACTTCCATATTAAGAAGCATTAAATGATTTTCCATAATCGTAGAGTTACAAAGGTATGTACGACTGGAAATTGTTTACATAAAAATCTGTAAGTATTTAATGCGAGAACGAATGTTTTCGCATGTCTCTTGCTGAATAACGTGTTCCAATAAACATCTGCCGGAACTTATTATGGCTTTTGACTGCATTTCTAAGATGAATACACCAATAATAACAGGGATGTAGCCCTGTTATTATATATATATATATATATATATATCTTTCAAAATTTGATAAAAAGCAGGGATATCCAAATACTGTAATTAAGTTGTATATAAAATCATTGAGTCAAATGAGATTATTATTAATATATTTAATAAAAATTTTTTTGTTAACTAAATTTTTATTTTTACCATGAGCAAATCCAATTCGGGCAAATCCGTGGCTAAAACTCTGCGCAAATCTGGCAAATCACGTTTCTTTTTTTAAACATATGTTAATCTTCTAACATCATTAAAATTGAATATCAACCTTATAAAATAAAAGCTTTAAAATATACAGAATAATATTATAACCTTGTGCATATCCATTTTCGGGCAAATCCAAGGTAACTAACAAATCGAACTCACTTCAGTACCGTAGCAAGAACGTCCCATAAAAGATCCCTCTATTTACGCTTCACATCTCTATTTGCGCTTCGGTTTTCATATTTTGTAATCTGGCAATCTTATTACGAAAATATTTTAAATCATTCTGAAAAGATTCCGGTATGTGTAAGTTCATTTGAATTTGCTACTCGCTTTATAGATTACGTTTTGTGTTTCGCTCTGAATTTTTCTGATATTTTATTTTCTGTTTTTTTTTTTTGCTTGATTTATTTTATTTCGTATATTTTTTACTTATGTGTTTTATTTTCTTTTAAGTTATTTTGAGCGTTCCTAACGCTATTGTATTGATACATTTTGCTTCGGCTATATTAATACAATATTAGAAAGCACCTTTTTGCGGATATAACCACGTGAGCTGATGGCAAGATTAAATCTTTTCAGTATTTTGTTTTCCGGCTTTTTAAAGGTTTTTTATTTTCTTTTCCTTCTCTCTCTCTCTTTATATATATAAATATAATATAATATAATATAATATAATATAATATAATATAAGGGCCCATTTGAGTTCGCTCTCCACCGGCCGAAGACTCCCCGTGTTGTAAATGTTGACTAGTGCACCTTAAATTTGTCTGGTCACAAAGTCTTCTTCCCGTAACAAGTTATATCTCCCGGGGAACTTAATTGGAGATTGGCCGTTCTCTGGTTGAGGTCAAAATTACAATCTGTAGATGAATGAATGGAGGTATGAATTAGTCCGCCTTATACAGGAGTTGTGACGTGTGTGTGTGGGTGAAGTCGTAATATTGGCCATAAATAGCGCCGCAGAAAAGCAAAAAACGCACCTTCGTAGGCCTTAAACTAGCTTGGTTTCACCCAACAGAGTTGCTTGTTCGCAAGTAGCATTAGAAACAACACAACAACTGTATTTCTTTTATGAATTTTTATTTTAATACTGATAGTCATTTTGAAATTAAGATAATCATCAATTTCGTTACGATTAACCTATTAATAAAGTGCTCTTGCTTGCATAAAGCTGCATTATTTGTAGATTTTGAAAACTAAATGCCCCCTATTTTTGTGAAAAATACTGACGTTTAAGGAAAAAAATAATGAATGAGAAGTGATTACGTGAGTTGGCGAGCGGAGCGATCAAGTGGCCAAGCCTCCTAAATTCCATAAATTTTTATCTTAGTAAGCAAATTTAGTTAACAACTCATGAATCAAAAGGCTATTGATAATTTATTTATTAACACAGTAATTCAGTCAAATCAATAATTCAATTAAACTCCAAAACGTTAAAATGAGATAAATTTAGTTTGTTTAGATAATTGTCGTAAAATTCATTTAAGTAATAATTTTTTTCTCCAATGCCCATCTGTGTTAACATCCGTCAATTCCGGCATATACAGGGCGATTTTGTTTACCTCTCTTACAGGGGCACCATATTAGGTGGGCCAATGTCACTCCCACAGTAAGGACAAAGAAGGAAAGAACATCCATGCCTTGCCCGTGATTCGCACCCAGAGCCTTTCTTATGCAAGGACAGTTCCCTACCCCCTACACAGGCCGGTCGGCTTTAAGTAATATTTTTGTTCACGTTATTATGAATAAAAATAAAGTTCCTAAGATCAAAAACATTTTTTCTTCTTTTAATCGATTATTTTTAACTAACCGGAATTGGACTCGACCAAATATTCCAACTCCAAGAAACTTTCCTACCACTCTAACTCTACACAATATTTTAACTGGTAGAAAAATATTATTTAATCAAAATTTTTGTCCGGAATTGACAACCTTCACAGCATATTTACAAGATCTTTTATTCAGATCATTGAATAATTTAACAATTAAAAATTGAATTCATCGATTTAATTGTTGTGGTAGTCATTATAATCTTAGCATTTGAAAACATTTTCCAGCTTGAGCTGGAAAAATTAACATATTAGCATTACAAAATATCATAATAAAACAAATTTCAATGATATTTCGAAGAAGCTGAGATCAATAATCCACCATTTTTAGAGTGATGACAAAATTTCGTCAATACAAAATAAATAACTGAGCGTTTGTCTGTAAACAGAGTTAAAAAAATATTACCCAAATAACTTATGTTCAAGTGATCAGATTTTCAAGTACTAAAAATTAATCTTAAAGATTTAAAGGATTCTATGCACTTGCAGCTGTAGTTAAAGCAGATGTGCGCCAATAATTCGATTAATTAGTTCAAACTTTAAATTCAGATAAGAAATCAGACATTGTACTTTCTCCAAATAATAATACCTCCCCCCCCTTGTTTTTATGGATATGCATTTTTGACAGATTGGGGAGAAGCTACAGTGTGGAAATTATTAGCCGGATAGTTTAGGCAGGGAATGATCAAACGTTTGGACCTCTGGTGTTAATTCAACTCTTTGTGTATTTTACCGAAAATAATAACTAATTATAAAAAATTATTTTTTACTTAGAATTTTGCATCTCTTTCATTGGGTCTAATTCGAATCTGAATAATTCTCTATGTTCCATGAGACAATTTGGTATGCAAATTAATTTTACTTTAATAATTAATGTGCGTCTGCATTCTAAACTAAATATTACTAACTAAATTAACTTAACTGACTTTTATGTGCATCATATCTTATTATATATGCTAATGTTACCGTACTTTAAAAATGGTGGCAACTACTTGACACAAAAATAAGCGTAAAGGAACATTTCTACCAGCATTTCGCCACTCCAAGATCGAATTATGTTGAATATACCATATCTGGTGTTCTGGTAGTTACCACAAGTTTGGTATTAAGATACACTAAAATTTTTACAATGTATGAAATGAATTATTCTAAAGCACTGTACTCTCTGTGTCTTTAGCTTCACAAATTATAAAGATATTAAAAGTCGACTTGTTTCGCCCTCACAAAACTAGACGCCCTTTCAGAAGACTCACTGGAAGTGAATAAAGAAAACATAACAGTTTTGAAAAAGTATTAAATGGAAGTTCTTCATTTAATACTTATATCATTTAATATTCTAAAAGGAAAATACTACATTATTTGATGAACAAATTAAGACTCATATTAACTAAAATATTTAATTAAAAAAAGTAGTCTCATTTTTCTAAAAAAAAACATGCGTTATGCATGTTTAAAATCAATACTTAACTATATAGTTAACTATATAGGTAACTATATAGTTCCACATATGGAATTACAATAAGGGGAGGGGATAGATTATTAAAATTGTATTCGCTGTTTAATCGAAATCCAAAACAAATTTATTAAAATGTTTTTAAACACGAAAATTTATCGCTGTTTCTATACTTTTCCATTAAGGCATCTATTTGCTTATAAATTACTAATTTATTTAAAAAAAATTTCTGTTATCTTAGAACAACTGATAGTGTATCTATTTCATTCGCTAAAGAAATTCAACATAAAATCTTTTTATATTTAGGACTTGTACAATGAAAGCAGAAACCTCTATTTTAAATTACAGGAAATTATTATTATCAAGAATAATTAAATTCGTTTATCAAAGGATAGTTCCGTGCAAAAAATAACTTTTAATAAATATTTATTATTTTTCATTATTTTATTTAATAATGGTTGAAAAAATTTGAATAGTAAAGTGTAAAATTTTTTACATCAAAGTATACTTTGATGTAAATGTATGACATATATGTAATTTTACATGGTAAAATTCAAAATTTGAGCAAAATGGGTCAAATAGTTCCTGAGAAGTCAAATTTTTAAATATCTGATTTATTTAAGATTTAATTTCTCTAAAGCTTTTCAATCGATTTTGCTCAAATTTTACATTTTGCCCTGTAGAATTATGTTCTTTATGATGCTGCCTAAAAATTGTATACCTTGCAATTTAAAATTTTTTCGAACATTATTAAATGAAATAATACAAAAAATAACTAACAACATAGACGTTAGTTTTTGCATGGAATTATCTTTGGATAAGCGAATTTTATAATTGTATGCAAATTTTTTTTGAAAACACGAATAAAATGTTCTTGAGATACAGCGATATACGTAAAAAGTAAAATTAACATTTAGGGGGCCAATTACATAAAGTGAGAATAATGACTTTTAAAATATCATGTTTATTTAATCTGACGTCACTTTAAGGGTCTTCATTAAAATGAAAAATTATAGAAACTTGTTTGTGGCAACATATTTTATTGTGGTGCTGGTTTTAGAATCGGGCAGAAGCGAACAGCTCACAGCGTTTAAGAGTTTAAATAGTGGTGGTTTTATTTCTCTCAATTATTAAAAATTTAAGTTTCGTAATATAATTTGTTGTTATAAGTATTAAAGTTATGACTGATTTTAATCCAAATGTTCTTGAAACTTTTATTAAAAGCTTTTCTTGTTCAGACCAAAATTTGGAAGAATTCGAGCATAGAGTTTTCTCTTTCATAGAAGGGCAGGTACAGCAAATATGCACTGAAATAGTATTATTTATCTTTTAAATTTTGTTAGACTTCTAGTCTATGAACTTTACATTCTTGTTGAATCTTTGGGGAGATTTCCGTATCGTGATCTGTGGGAATTATAAATCGACTATGTCAACCTTCATTTTATCATGAGGTACCTTTTCATAGATGAAGGTTGACATAGTCGATTTATAATTCCCCTCATTGGCGTCCTCCGGATGTGATAGCACTTGCCAATATTGATGGATGATCCACATTAAATAAAGAAAAAAGAACTGTTGATTTGCTTAAAAGTGTACTGCTCAAAGAAAAACAAAAAACCCTGTGAAGTAAATAAAGTCTCAGTCAATAAACAAAAAAAATATGAAGGGAAAAAAATAATGAACAAAATACTTCTAAGAAAAAGGAAGAAAAAATTATAATGAGCAAAATTGATATGAATAAAGATATAGCATGAATCAACTAATGGAATCTGTTCATCGAATTCTATCACAGATAAAATTCTGAAAGGGGAGTAATGTGGCGTAACTACCACTATAAATATTGAATACCAATTCACTAGTATATAAGACATGTTGTCTTATTCTATCTTGAGGTACTTTATGATAGATGAAGGTTGACATAGTCGATTTATAATACCCCTCACCCGAATTAGAAAATTTTTTTAAGCGTAACTTCACTTATTTTGAGTTGCTAATTTTATTGATAAACTGATGAGTTTTCTCCTAAAATTTTCAGTTTATATAATATTAAAGAGAACTAATATGTTGATGTTACTGCTGAATACTTATTTATTTTTTTAATTTTTAGTCGTTATAAAAGTTTATTGTGAAAATGATATGGTGTTATTTTTTCCTTTAAAGTTTTATAAAACTTAAATTATTTTCTTTTGACTTGAGAAACGTAGTTTTGAAAATTTTTATTCATTCTGTAATTTTCACCTTTTTTGTATATGTTAGAGAAGATTCATTGTAAGTCTATTTTTTCTTTCTGTCTTTAAACACAGCCAAAGATGCTTAATTTTGGCCCTGAATGTACAGTGGCACTCACGGAAATATAATACTGGGTTGCCACTGGCGACTAGTTGCAACTATTTTCGGCTTGAAGCGATTTTGGCAATTTTTTTGTCTGACAAGGCTGTAAAAGCAACTATTTTCAGGAAAAGGAGCCTATTGACACACTTTTTATGCTCCTAATGATGTTTTTTTTTATAAATCATAAATTGGGTTGACAACCTGCAGCTTGTGAGAGTTTCTGAACACTATGAATTTTTTTTTCCTTCAAGGATTAAAAAATGTTGAAAATTTTGAAGTGCTAAGAGTCATCACTTTTTAATGCGCTCAATTTGCGCAGAGTCCATTGTAAGTCTATTTTTTCTCTCGACCGCCTTTTCAACGGTTATTGCTACAAAATTCTGCATGATTACGATGCGTACATTTTGAATTTAAATAATTACTTTTCACTATATATATATATATACATACACACACACACACACATATATATATATATATATATATATAATTGCTAAATAAATTTTTTTTAGAAAAAATATGTTTTTTAATAAAGTATTTTTTGAATGAATTCTAGTAATTAAAAGTATTTAATTTTCTGCAAATACAAAAATTTTTTGATATAAAAATTTAGTGCTAGGACACTAACATTATTATAAAAATTATCATATTTGCCACCAACTTGACTAAAGGATCATGGTATATAACAATTTTGTCATTTAATAAAATTTTAGTCATATTATTGAAATTTTTTTTCTTATTTAGGCAACTATTTTCTTGCTTTAGGCTACTAAAAGCAACTATTTTGTTCTTTTTTTTCTCTGTCAACCCTGAAAACATCTCAGAAGGTGATCAATCCAAAACGAATAATTTATAGCCACACTCAAATTAACCCTTACATAATTTTAAAAAAAATATTACAAAAATATAAACTATTTGGCATCTTGACGATGGTAGTTTGTTTGAACCATACTGATATCATAATATCCTCATTTGTTTTAGAAAATAATAATAAAATTTCTAAGAAGATAACTTTTATTAGACATTATAAATTCTGTCTGTATCTATTAAGAATCTATAGAAGCTTGCATTCCGGGTAGGGTTGGCATGTTATTTATTTACAATGTAAGGTTTTTACCCTCTTGGGGAAAAGCCTGTTTTTTCTGCAGTTTTTACCATCAATAAAAATGTTTCACCTATTGTTATATTGTTTCGTACCATGAAACATAATTCTTTTTTCCATCTTTGCCTTATTTCTGTGAATGTCTTAAAAAATTGCACATTTTAAGCAGTATTGAAACAAGAACTTGGAACATTTTAAAAATAATTTTATAAACGTTCAGGTTCAATATGTGATCATTTTAAGAAGTAATGTTCAAAATTTTTTTCCAAGACTCATTGTAGGCCTAATTTATATTATATAATATGTAATCAGGGTGCGTAGCGTTTGTAAAAAGTACTTAAAGGTGCTTTTTTGGGGATTTCGTTTTTAAAAGCTTTTAAAGGTGCTTTTTTTTCCGAATAATTTTTTTTCTTCCCTTCAGTGATATCTGGTGGATCCCATGCATTTCACAAAAAATGGGGAGTTTGGTACGTAATCATTCACGCGGACTTCTTTTCATACCCACGTTATGACTTGCGCATGCACGCACTTTTGAAACCGAAACCCGAGTGCTCCAATTCGGATAGAGAATATCAGATCCTTATGAAATGTTTTTCTTTTTAATTTATTTTAATTTTGTTCTTGTTTATTTTATTTTACTTTTTAACACTTTTTTTGACGTAAGGTGTAAGGGTACTTTAGTTCTGAGTTCAGGGTCAAGTTGAATTCACTCTGTGATGTGGGAAAGTACTGATTGTTTCGATTTACGCCCCTTTCTTTTTTCTTTTTTTTTTTTAACGCTAAAACTGTTTATAAAAAGTTTTTGTTTTTCAATAATATCATTGATTGAATATGAATTTTTTGAGTGCTTGAAAATTTTTGTTAAGTGCTTGAAAAGTTTTTAAAAAGTGCTTATTTTTGATTCAAAGATTTGGCTACGCACCCTGGTAATATTTTTTCCTATCAGGTATAAATAATAAACCACTACCTACCAATAAATATCATGTTTAAACAGTATTTACCCATTAAAAACCCAACTCGGTTAGAGAAACTTGTATTGGGATCAATGCCAAAATAATTGCCAAGTCTTTTTGACAGTAGGTCGCGAGAAACTATTAAAAAAAAAAACATCCCAGAAGAGAATCAATTTGAAGGGTATAACTCGTATCCAATGTCTGAATGTCTACATGTAAATTCGCAATCTTAAAATAAATTTGGCGTCTTAGCAATTGTTGTTGACATGACAAATTACCATACAAAAGTATCCTACACTGGAGCTATTTCTATTTCATTACCTAGTTTTCACCAGTTGAAATAACTATGAAAAAAATTATAAAAATGTAGTTAAAACAACAATAAATAATAGTTTAGTACTAGACAAAATTATCTTGGGCTGTTAGTGCTAATTTTTTTTTGTTTTTGTTTCATTTTTCTGTTTTTACTTAAAAATTTTTTTTTACCATATTCAAACTTAAATGTTAAATTTAGTTTTATTGTCTGCAAAGCATAAGTATAGAATATTTAATTCATTTAAATGAATTTATTTTTATAGAAATGGGTGTCCCGTCCCCTTGTTTTGTCACCTCTAATTTGTGCCCAATATGGTTGGAAGTGTGTGAATCCTAATCTTCTTGAATGTATTGCTTGTGGTGCTAAACTTTGCACACAAGAACCGAAAATAGAAATTTATGATGCTTGTAAGTATTTTTAAATGTTTTTATTATAGAACTTGTTTCATTTTTATATTATTTGTTTTTCCGTTTTAAGACAGATTGTTTTAGCTACTTGTTATTATCATACTTTTATAATGATTTTGAATATTGAAAATTATTATTGCCTATAATTGTTATTGCCTACAGCCTATTAGAGTGATTGTTTTCTGGGTATACCATAGAAATACTAGAAGTGTAATTTTTCAGAAAATCTCAAGACCATTGGTTCAATAACTTCAGAGAATCAAGAAACTTATAATTTGGCAAAATTTTCACGTAGTTCTGCAATCTAAAATAAAATTTTTTTCTGAATATCATTAGCAAGACGTTTACACCCTAGCAGCAAAATAACTTCATTAGGCCAATATTCATGAATCTTGGCTATATAAGGGATCAAATTGCTGCTTATTTTCCGATATTGGCCCTAAATAAAATTTTCCGATTCATCCGATATTTTACAGCCACTTTTTAACCAATATCACTCCTATATTGTCATTGGAGATGATCTCAGATTTATTGTCAAATTGATCTGATATTTTATATCTATTATTTAGCCAATGTAGGCTCTATATTGGCCAATGTAGGCCATTCTAGAATCAATATTAAAAAATCTAGGCATCCCGATATGGGTCACTCAGTGCATGTTCATATAGGACCTATGTTGAGCAGATATTGAGTATTTGAAACTGCACCAAAATCCTCTATTGTTATTCATAATCAAGCTATTTTATTATCATAAATTTTTGTATTCATCTGAAAGTTACACTTTGCTGTTCATATTGACGGGATTTAGAAATCCAATATTGCGATTTTTGTTCATGCCTTTGTAACATCGATTTTGATATTCATTTGTGATTTAACCGTTTGAGGCCGGTGGGATCCTTCATATGTATTTTTTTAAACTCCTTACAAGCAAATATATTTTAGTGTTTTTTAATTATAAAAAACAGTCTAATGGCCACTAAATATTTTTTAGATTGTCTGAATTATATTTGTAAAGTATAAACTCCTAAAAAAGTAAATAAAATGATTTTTCATGCATATTCAAACATTTATCAATAACTGATTTTGTTAATTAAATTTCCATGATGAATAACTGTTTTTCTTAAATCTTCTTGTGTATTTTTGATGCTTTATGGGATGAAACCTAAATCATCTTAATAGGATTAATCATAATTTATATGCACCTGGGAAAACCTTAATGACGCCTGGTGGCTGAGCGGTAGCGCTTTGCGCTGTCGTGCCACAGGTCCCTGGTATGATCCTTGGGCCGGGCAAGGTTGACTCAGCCTTTCATCTCTTCAGTGGGCCGATAAATGAGTACCAAACATGCTTGGGAACTGAACACTGGGGGTTCCGAGTTCGGCTGACCACCTGACCGGAACATCTGCTTCTGCACATCAGAGACCAAGGTCAAGAAAACTGAGATGAGCACAGTAGGCCGTGGCCATCTATGAACTGTCTCGCCGCTGAGTTTTTAGAGAAGGGAAAACCTTAAAATCTCAAGCTTACAAAATCAGGGAAAAGGAAAGTCTTTGTCTAAACTTTGGATGAAAAAAAGCTACAAATTATGAAGAAAAAAAAATTAAAACTTTTCAAGCTTTTTTTTATATTTTCTGGGAAGTAATTTTAAAGATCCTTTGAAACATAAGTTCTTTGGAGGCTACCAGATACTTGCTCGTTTGTGGTAGAAAATGCTTTAATTAGTGATTTTGTTTTAACTTTAATTTTTAAGAGTTTATAAAAATGTTTTATGCACCGATTATATTATGTTTTCTTTATGATGCATTTATTGCCTGTTGCTTTGGAGAGTCAGGGAATGACCCTGGTAAGGATTCTTTAGATATACATTGAGGATGGTGATTTTCTTTTTGTAATTTAAAATTATTTAACTTTACAGAAGGTTAATTTCAAATAAGTTAAAATGTGAAACTCATCCCACCCTTTTTTTTTAAATAGATAAATCATGTTTAGACAAGATTGTAGCTGACTTAAAAGATGGTCATAAAGATGACTGTCCTTGGCCATTAGCACCCTCTCCAGGTATGTTATGAATATTCATGTCAATGTAATTGATATTTATGAGCTCTGAACTTTTTCCTTTTAGTTACCATTTAATTTTGATACTTGTTTGTAAACACAGCCTTTGATTTGAACTTCTGTCCTGTGATTTTTTTTTATACATATACCTTCATATTTTTATTATTTGAAGATTTTTTTTTAATATTATACATAATGTTAAAAATTTTTTCTTCTCTCTGATACTTTTTTTTTAATAACTCTAATTTTTTTTCTTCTTATTTGTAATTTGCTTCTTAATCACCATTCCGTTTCTATATATTTGTGAAGTATTTGTTGTTGCTATATTGTTAAAGAGAGCAACAATACAGGTTGCTGTATTATTTAAATGTTAATAGTTTGCTTCTTAATCACCATTCAGTTTTAAATACAGTAAAACCTCGCTACAACAATATTTTGTGGACCAAATAAGAATATTGTTGTAGAGGGATATATTGTTATATCAAGGGCCCACATAATTCTGGGACGCAATAAGATTTTTCGAAATTTAATGTTATATATTCATTAACTATAAATATATTTATATATTATTGAAAAAATTAATTTGCAAAGTGTTTATTACGGTTAAGCATTAAAAACAATGGATATAAATACAGAAAATAAGATTGTAAACTTACCTTCAAAAAACATTTTTATTGAAAAAAATTGGATATTTTTGTTTGTTTATTCATTTTTCTGACTGTTAAGTCAACCAACAAAGTATGCATTGAGTCCAATGCCCGAAAGTAATTTTCATTTGTGAATGGAAGACTTGAGAAAAATGTCTTTTGAGATTTTACAGATTGAAGAGCTTCATGGGGTGACAATACGGACTGTGATACACATGGATCATCATCACCATCTTCTTCCTCATCATTATTTTCCATTTCATCTGTAATTTCAGAGAGAATCTCTTCATCAGTAACTCCTGCGAAAATCGTGAGATCGTCATCTGCAGTTAAATAGTCCTCCACGTTAACACCATATGTTTTGCCCATTTTCTCCTCAAGTTGGGATAAAGATTTTTGAAGATTCAAAACAAATTCTTGATCATCTGAAAGATCACTGTCTGTGGAATTTTCTTCACTATTAGAAACAATTTTATCTTCCAAGACACATAAACCGGCCTTTTTCCAACAATTTTGAATGGTTTTTTCTGTTACCTCCCACCAACTACCAGCAATAATATCACATGCATTCTTAACATTCACAGTTTTAAAAGGATCTTCTACTTTATTTTCGATGTTGACAAGTATCGATTCAACCAAACGCTTCCTGTAGTATCCTTTGAAACACTTAATTATGCCCATGTCGAGTGGCTGCAAAATCGAAGTGCAGTTGGCCGGGAAATAAACAATTCCGACGTTGTGAAGTTTTGGAATTGAGGTGTGAGCGGTGCAGTTATCAATTAATAAAGCAATTTTTTTCTTCCTCTTTTTCATTTCTTTATCTAACATCAACAACCATTCAGAAAAAAACTTAGAAGTCATCAAAGCTTTTTTATTGGCTTTATATTCCATGGGAAGACTTTTCACATTCTTGAAACACCTCGGCTTCAATGATTTGCCGATAACAAGAGGTTGAATTTTGTGTGTCCCTGTGCTATTGGCACACAGAAGAACAGTCAATCTTTGCTTTGATTTTTTTCCGCTGTAACATTTTTCACCCTTAAATGCCAATGTTCGATCGGGAAGGAGTTGAAAAAACAACCCAGCTTCATCTGCGTTATAAACGTTCTCTGGTTTATACTTTTGAGGAATATCTGTCATCTTCTCTTGCTTCCATTCATTTGCTTCGTTAATCGGAGCAGATTTTTTCTCTTCATGAACTTCCTGGAAAGTTATTCCATGTTGATCCCGAAAACGCATTAGCCAACCATTACTAGCTTTAAAAGTTTCGTTCCCTAGCATTACTGCGAATTTACGTGCTTGTGTGCATAACAAGGGCCCATTTATCGGGATATTTGTTGCTCTCATCTCTTGAAACCATTTTAAGACGGCAGCATCAATGTTTTCATTAGTTGCGACTTTTAGTCGTTTACGCTTTGGATTAATTAAATTTGAACTTACAGTATCTTCGATCTGTTTTCTTTTCTTTAGAAACGTTGCAACTGTAGATTGAGATAATCCGTATTTTCTAGCTGCATCAATCTGTTTCATTCCATCATCAATATCTTTAATAACGTTAAGTTTATCTTGAAATGAAAGTTGCTTTCTCCCTGCCATCTTATGCTAAATTACACTAGTAAAAAATATCCAATACACTGAAGACTCACCAAGCTGAAAATGTTAGCAGCACTAAATGCGAAAAGCTCTGATCGTAGAATTTGCGCTAGCTCATGAAAACACCAGGTGTAGTTTAAATCAGGGATTAAGTGACAGTGATGAACGATGACCAATGGTCAGTATACATTTTTTTCTCCTCCTCAATTTCAATAAACGTGCTCCACCCACCTTCTACAGAAACAGTACCTTCTCAGGGTAGCAGGTGTTACTGTGATGTGTGTGGTCATTTATGACTCATGATGTTACAATGGTGATTTCTTAAGAACTGAGGGAGGCAATTCTAAAACATGAAGCTCTTAGGGTGGTCTAAGTACCTCAACAGTGCTAACTCAACGGGTCCTCAACTAAGTACCTCAACGGGGGAATGAAATTTGAATACAAAAGCCATTCTCTGATGTGAAAAGAAATAACAGTGGGGTGAAAGATCATAACCAGCAGTGACCCTTTTATCAGAAAAGATGAAAAAAATGGCAAAAGATGACAAAAAGGCTTTTTACATTATTTGAAAACCAATAAAAAAATTTAGAAAATAATGTTGAAATTTGAAAAAAAATCTTTTTACAGAGGTTTACTGCTTCAGAGAATATCGTTATATTGAGAGGAAGATAACATTAATCAATATGCAAGTTTGGCGGGACCACGGAACATCGTAATAGAGGGAGTTATTGTTGTATCGGATATCATAGTAGCGAGAGTTTACTGTATTTGTGAACTATTGTTATATTTGTGAAAGGTGGCTGCAACCCATGTTACTATATCTATTGCTATGTTCTTTAATTCAATGTTTATAATTTGCTTCTTAATTATCATTCAGTTTCTATACATTTGTGAAGTATCATTGCTAGACATTTCAACAAACATAACTATCATATTTGTTACTTTTGTCTAAAGTGCTTGTACTTTTACTCATTACTTTTTAAAGGATAGTTCCCATATTTGAATATTAACAAATATAATAGTTCAATAGGAAATGTTCTACTTTAAATAATCACGTGTTTCAACTGGTAATGATGATCAGAAAGTTAAATTACAGGGATCGACAAGTTCCAATGGGATATTTTTTGCCATGTAGAAATAATATTGGCAAAACTTAAAAGTTTTGTGGGTTCATAAAGGGTTAATCAATTAAACTTTTTTTTAAATTGTTCTCTTGTGTTATGTTTCCTGTAAAAAGAAATCTTTTCAGAGTTTGTGCTATAGAAATTTTCTGTATCCAAACAGAGAAGCTATTGTCTACTAACTATCAACTTAGTCTATCTGTATTTCATTAATGATTACAAATGTTACTTAACAATTCAAATTTTTAGTGATAGGTTATTATTATTTTTAAACAATAATTGGAATTAATTAAAGTCTAACTGCTAAGGACCTCAGCTATTATAGATTTTAAATATCACATTATTTTATCTCTGAAGTATACAAAAATGTGGGATAGATTAGTGGGCATTAAATAGGATAGAAAAATAGATTAGTGGACATTAAAAGACAATAAGAAAAAAAAGTTTATTTTCTGATTAAGGCATAAAATTCTAAAAGAAAAAATAAATAGGTATAAACTATGATTTTGAAAGTAAAATGTTAAATAAGAAATTCTAAAGAAGGAAAAGTTGAAATTAATCAAAAAAAATTTTTCTTTACTAAATAATTTTTAATTACAGTCCCAACCTAAAAAGAAGAAAGAAAAACAGAAGTCTCCACTTACAATTAAATGGCGAGCATTCTTGCTAAGCAAAATTTAAGTTATTCAAACCGAAAATATCTCTTAACCTAATTATTATTTGTTACAGTTATACTGAATCTGGATAGGCAATATAAACTGAATCTTTTACTTTGTTAGATACAAGTACCCAATAAAATGTTTATTTATTATCTGCTTGGTTCATGTCTGGTGAACATTTAATATATTGCCCTACCAAACTCGGTACATCCCTGCTATTTGTTTTTACCTGAAAATTTTAATTTTTCTAATAGTATGCAAAAGTAATAACTAATGAGATTTGAATAGTAACATGTGGTTGACTAAATTTGAGTCAACAATACTGTAATATTAGTTAATGTTATATGTGACTAAAAAAACCTACTTTTACTTTGTTGCTTTCTGCTACTTAAAAAACTAAAAATGTAAGTTTTAGAGCTGTTGAACAGCTGTTTTGTATTGTGGTATTCTTGTTTTCATTCAGTTTATACCGCAACAACGTTAAATTTAATTTTGATTTTATTTCAATTTAATAGCTTTTCTTTTTTAATAAATACTCTATACAGATAATAAATTTATTTTAGTAATACATTTGCACTCTTGTTAAAGAAGTTTTAAGTTTTATCAATATTTGTAAATGTTTTATTGGTTTGTTATTTATTATTGACGTTTTAATTTTAGAATCATTTGTGAAGATGGTCCCTTTACCCAAAGAAGAGGCTTTGAGCCAGTTTGTGAATCGTCTAAAACCATTTCTCAATTCAGATAGTTCGATTCCTCAAGTAAAAGGGTCCATACCTTCAGTACTGGTAAAAAAATTAGTTCTAGTTTTTCATTTTGTACAAAGCAAAAAAAAAAAATTTTTTTTTTCATTTCCTATGCAAAAATTGTTTTTATATGATCACTAGATTAATTAAATGTGTAGATTATGGTTTTAAAATTAATAGCACGCTGTAAAATGATTATTTATTTAATGATAAATATTATTTGCTAATACTTGATCAATACTAAGTAATTAATTCATACCCGCTAACTACCCCGGAATATACTCCTGGCATTCCGCAAAGATATAAATTTTATCCGGAAAATAAACCCGATAACTAATTTGTTATTAGCTATCTGGGTTAATTGTCTTTTAACCCGGATAGCTAATTTTTACGGTTTTCCGCCTATGACGTCACAAAATTGTATTCCCCCCCTCTTTTATGTCAGCTCTCTCTCCTCCCAATGGTGTTTCTCAGCGCCGCGCTCTTGCCGTTGTACAGTGCTGATGTCACTTAACCTGCAGAGCTAAAACTGGCTGAGTTACATCAACATTAAAGGTGCGTGTGAGAAATGTTTCTTCTTCTCTTTTTGAGATAGTTTCTCGCAAGCAAATGGTGTTTACTTTTTCGTGCGGCCGATGCGTCCTAGTTGGAGTTGCTGATTGGAGATAGGATCATGTCTACCTAAAAACATTCACAGATGTTTCTTTTGCAGATCCTGAAAACTTGTCTTTAATGCTTTTACTTGAGGGGGAAGTGGCACCATTCGTTCGATGGCATGATCCCTCCACGTGCCATAAACAGTCATTTCGACCTCCATGAGCAATTGAATAATCACATTTGCAAATGTTGCAATTGCAATAGACATGATGTGATGATTTAGTGGAACAAGTAAAAACAGGCTATTCTACTGAATATTATTTCAAAGAGCAAAATTTGCTTCTTTTGACTATTTTCTGTCTCTGTTTTCTGTTCCAGCAGAACAACAAAGGGAAATGAAACAAGAGTTTGCTCTATACCAAATCGACACTCTAAACGAAGAGATTCTGAAACATGCTGCTAGGATGCAGTGTTAACTAAGCAAGATTTCTTATGTTGCTTTGACTGGAGAAAAAGATAAAATTTTTGATATTTATGTATAACAATATCACGAGGAGAGTTTTTGTTTAAGTAAAATTTATAATTTTTCATTTGCTTCATAATTATTCTGTCTACCATTCTTTCATAATTTTCTCATTTCATATTGTCAGTTTAAAATTAATTATACTTTATTGAAACTGATAAAAAGTGAATAATATAGTTCTGTCAATTTTTACCAACTATCAAAGATAATTTAATCATGATTTACAGGTTATCCGCGCACCTGGAAAGTCATAAAAATTCATGAATTTCAGTTTTGAACAAAATTTGTCATGATTTTAACTATTTTAAAAAAAAATAAATCATGAAAAGTCATGGATTTACAGGGTGGCCACCCACCTGGAAAACCTTGAAAACCTGGAATTATCAGCGATGTCAATT